CTGGCTCCTTCTACCAACCCCCCCGTGTCTCTCAGACCCAATGCAGAAATCACAAAGCACAATGCGTGAGAGCACCCCTCCCCCACCCCCAGGAGGCCTGCCTGATAGACACTGTTCCGGGGTGAAGGCCCCCTAATCTCACTCAGGGTCCTCAACTTGACAGCAGCAGGACCTGGGGTCCCCCCTGTGCTGCCTGAAGCCCTGCTCCTGCTACCAAACCCCCCGTGTCTCTCAGACCCAATGCAGAAATCACAAAGCACAATGCGTGAGAGCACCCCTCCCCCACCCCCAGGAGGCCTGCCCGATGGACACTGTTCTGGGGTCCAGGCCCCCCAATCTCCCTCAGGGTCCCCACACTGACTCCCGGCAGGTCCCGGACCCCCTCTGGCGACCTGAGACGCCGCCATGACAGGGAGCCGCCCGAGGGTCTCAGACCCCGAGGACCCGGAAGTCAGGCCTCGCTGCTTGAGGTCACCCCGCGCCTTGGGGCCCCCGGGACTGACTGCTCTGGGCCCAGAGTCACCTTGTCCCCCCCCACACACACTGCCTCACCATGAGGCCTGCAGGTCCTGGGACCCTCCCTGTGTGAACCAGGAGGCCGGACCCCCACACGGAGGCCGTCACCCCCGAGACCCCAGGGGAGGCCTGTGGGCCTCACTCCCCAGGGCTCCCGGCAGGGGCTGGACTAGCTCCCCGGGACCTCCGTCTGGTCCTCACCCTGATTCCAGGCAGAGCCTGGGCCCGCGGGCGCCGACCTGAGGTGGCTCCCCTCAGCGCTTGTCTGGTCTACCGACCCGAAGCCGGCCTCCCAAAGATGGCGCTCAGCTCCCTCAGGCTTCTCAGGCGGAAGTCAGTGAGTCAGTGACATCACTTCCGGAAACCAGTTGTGGGGTCACCCAGGCCTGCTGACCAGATTGGAGTTCCACTCTTTGTGCCCAGTCCCCCCTGCTGTAGTGCCCTCTGTTCTGATGGCCTGGGCCCCCACCCTCCTCACCCAGGAGGCCTCACACCCCTTGCAGAGATCGCTGCAGAACCAGGACCAATGCTGGAGGGAGCGCTGTTGCCCAGGACGTGGGGGGGGGGGGGGGAGAAGAAACCCCCCCTACTATGGGGGGGCTTTCCCAGCCCCAAAGAACCCTGGGGAAATTTGGGGTCCTAAAAATAAGTAACCCCTAAAAATCTTAGGAGGAAGAGGGGATTTGGGAGGGGGGGGAATTTGGGTTT